ATAGAGAATGACTGACAGCCGCAGTGGAGGGAAAAGCTTACGTTAACTTGAATTTAATGACTTAAATATACATTTCTATCTCACATTATACTACAGTATGGCTTCATAAAGTATACACGATTAACGCAGGTCACCTATTTTGGTTTCAAAACGGCGAATTTGCCGAAAGGTGAATGATTTTCGTGTATGCTGCATATTGATAGCGGTTTCCTGATGCCCGCAAATTAGTTCAAACTCACGGAATCAAGAGTGCGCATGCGAGACAGAAGATAATGTGCTCCAAACCGTCCGTGTTGCGCACAGACCGGCGAGGGAGAGAGACTGCGTGTGTGCCTCATGAAGCGCACGTAAGAAGCGCATGTAGCATGTAAACAATCCCCGTGACGTAATCAGACCAACTAATCGATAATGACATTCGTTGACAACGATTTTCATAATCGATTATAATCGATTTTATCGATTAGTTGTTGCAGCCCTAATTACGTCTGAAATTATACATGCAAATACATTTAACATTATTAAGTCTTAGCCTACAGTACTTACAGGTTAAAATGCCCAGTAAAGAGAGCTAAATTACGATTGTAATTTTCAGGAACATAATCAAACATAAATTGTATCCATTGTTGACGAACTACAACATCCGTGGGAAGCAAACACAGAAGACCTGACTGCTGAATGAACATAACACGCTTTCGACGAGCCGCAGAAATATGGCCATTTGCATATTCTGGAGGGAGAGGTTGATGCAAATGTGTGGGTTAGTGACGTCAAAAACCCAGCTGTAGTCCCAATCGAGTCGTTTTTGTAGGCAATATACTTCCTGATTTTTAAAAGACGATATCTCTTCTTACACTGAATTTTCAGCGCTGCGACTTTGCAGCTACTGTTCATGCACCAACAGCAACATTACACACTATTTAAAATGAAAAAAGTGAAATCGCAATCAACCACCCCTTTAACAGGTTTTTCTGTGGTTTTAGGGCAACGTAATGTAATGACACATTGTCTTTGAAAAAGAGCAACAGATATGCTTGGATGTCAAATGTATTTATTTTTCATTTGTTCATTTATTTTTACAGATAAACACAATTTTATACTGTTTTATAGTCCTCATTCTTTAGAAATAGGATGAGTCATTGAACATAGCTCTTTCATAGCTTTTATTTTATTGATTCATTCTTATTTTATTTATGCACTTTTTTTGGTTTAAGCATTTTCACATTAGTTATGCTGTTGAAAAATGGTAGATGTTGTCTAAAGAATATGTTTGCCTGTATTTTTTTTATGACTATAATACTATAACCAGGGATACACCGATAGCAAAATTCTGGCACAAGATGTGTCCCCTTTTGGCCCCTCAGTCCACACTTTTGTCAGACAGTATTAACTTTGTCAACAGGATGCATTGCTAGCACATATAGAATTGGAGTCATTCAATTTGGAGTAATTTACTGTTTGAGAAATCTTCCTTTCTATGTGTCAGTTGCTAGTTTGATTGACAGCATGGTGCATTTCTACAGTCTATTTTTCCAGACATGATAATGAGTACCAAGCAAATGCATAATGCAACAGAAATCAGCAGCCACATAACAGATTGAGATTCAAACAGGAGATTTCATGCTACTCTCTGACTCCTATGTTTATAAATAAATAAATCTCAACCTTTTATGCATGCAACAACCCAGATCTTTTCTGGTTTCTAATGTCTTTATCATTTCATGTCTGGTGGTAATGGTATTTTTAGCTCATCATGAATAATGCATGCAGTGCATGGCAGCGTTTGCTCGGTTTGTCCCTGGACAGCATGCAGTGCCAGTGGCAAGAGGAAAAGGGATGCAAGTATGGATCAAAAAGAGTCATATCTCGGCTTTAGCAGAAGTTGCCTGCTCAAATCTCCAAATATTAGTCCCTGTAAACCTCTCAAACCCCCGTTCATTCTTTGCCGTACCGTCCAATTTCATTCTCCCAGGAATAAAACAGGCCACCACTGATGTGTTTTTTTTGTTGTTGTTAGAATAACTCTTCCACCTCACTGCAGCTGAATAGAGAATCGAGACAACACCATAAAAGCAGGATGTTTTCATATTTGCTCGACGAAGCTGATTTTAACTCTAGGTTGTATAGTATAGGGCTAGTTGATATGTTGAATATCCATAATATATTTGTGTTGTATCTGAGTTGGTAAATGTATTAAATGGTTTCAGTAAATTCCGAGCTTTGATTGATTTTTGTGTTTACATCCTGAAAGTTGATATGGGATTTATTCATTTATGATGTGAAGAAAATAAAAATGTGAAGAAATATAAATGTTTTTGTAATAAACAACAGTATTTAACATTTTTTAATGCTCATCAAGCCTGCATTTGTTATGTGAAATTCAGAAGAAACAGTAATATTGTAAAATGTTGTTACAATTTAAAATAGTGGGTTTCTATTTGAATATACTTAAAAATATAATTTACACCTGTGATCAAAGCTGAATTTTCAGCATCATTACTCCAGTCTCCAGTGTCACATTATCCTTCAGAAATCATGCTAATATGCTGATTTATTATCAGTGCTGGAAACAGTTGTGCGGTTAATATTGTACGATAATATTGTAATATTTTTCACAGGTGTTATCACCTGTGATACTTTTTTTTCTGGATTCTTTGATGAATAAAAGGTTGTTTTTAAAAAACAGAAAAAAAAAAGAACAGCATTTAGTTAAATGAAGCTTTGCCATCACAGGATATTATTTTAAAGTGTATTATTTAAAATTTTTATAATATTTCCCAATATTACTGATTTTTCCTTTAATTTTTTAATCAAATAAACGCAGCCTTGACGAGCATAAGTGTCTTATTTAAGAATATAAAAATAGTAACGTTTCCCATTTCCCAATTTTGATCGGCGTTCTGGTGATTTGCGCTACCCGCAGTTTTTTTACCTGTATAACAAAATGATTGATTAATTAATTATTAAAAATTATTTATTAATTTAGCTTTTTTAAGTGAAAAGCAGTGTGGACAATTAGGCTTAATAATGTTTAGTGTTTTACATCTAATTGGCAACAAAATAATTAAAATATGTATTAAATATCGTCAATATCGTCAAATATCATCAAAGGTATATTGCCGAACCTCACACTGATGTGTGTGTGTGTGTGTGTTTATAAACATCGATGCTTTATTGAGTTTTTAATCTTGGCCAACTTCACATTGGACTCTAACCCAGGTCACTCTCTTATCAGTGAAAAACATGTGATCTGTTGAACCTCCTGCCTTTTACTGTCTCGAGTCATGACATCTTTGCTTTAAGGCCTCAGAAGTCCAGCACATGCTTTCTAGCTATTTTTCTTGGATGAAAATGTTCAATTTAGACTTTTAGACTGTTCAAGTAGCCAGGTAAGCAACAAGGGTATCAATAGCAGTTGGAATCTTTAGCTCCTTACAATTCGCTTCAATTCACCTTTGGCTAAGCCCCGCCCCCCTTAGTTACTGTTGCTACTTCCGTCAAACTTCATCTGGGCTCTGGTTTGGAATCAACATGGCTCATGCTGTGACAGCTCTTCCTGCCGAAATGTTATCAAACTTTTATAAAGCAGCAAATAAAGTGTCCGACAGAAGTAGGCAAAAGAGACCTATATGCGTTCGAAGGCTATATTCAAGACATACAGGTGAAACGCAAGAAACAACAAGGCATCCAAATAGAGGCAAAGGCATAACGTTGTCGGTCACAGTCAAAAATTAACCACCACATATCCTACTAATCGAGATGGAGGACTAACAATATCAGGGAGCAACACTGTTCATGCAAAGCTGGGTAGGTGTCTATTCACTTCATTAATCGTTATTACAAAGCAAACGGACTACACGAGTATAACGTTGTATTTATTAGCAGTGAGTGCTAGCGTATCAACCGAAATACGCTATGAGAACCGATCATAACCTAAAACATTATAAAACGGTCTAACTAGTATAACTTCACAGTAAGGTTAGAAGCAAAAAAAATGTGCTTGTTGATCTTTGAGGGGTTTAGCTGACTGAGGACGTCCATACAGTTTAAACCAAAGACGACACTTGTCAGGATTTGACCGGTTTTGGGAAGGGAAAAAATGGACACCCCCCTCCAACCTCTCTGGGAAACGCATATCTGTGTTAACATATACCCCAGGCACAATGGTTAACCATATTTTTGATAAAACTATGATGGTAATAACCTGCCAAGACCAAAAATATGAGACGCCTGTGTTGAAAGTCAATGGAGCGCTGTGAAAAAGTGTCCGACCTCTGTGGGAGCTCATTCTTGGCTGCGCTGCGATTGGTCAATCTACATTCTAGGGCGTGGCTTAGCCAAAGGCGAATTGAATTTTGATTTAGGAAGTAATGATATTGCGTTTTAAGGCAGCCCCAGCTCATTGCCAAATTTTATGTTAAGATTCTGCAGAAGATTCTGCATAAATTAACCGCCATTAGAATCTGATATCTATATACTGACATTAACTACAGGGAATGTTAATGAAACTCTCCGATTGTGACATTTTGAATGGTCATCTAATATCTACTGTATGGCAGTTGTTGGAATGTTTTCCATTTGCAGGAAGTAAATCATATGATTCAGCCTGGATTGTCTTGAAGATTCTGATCATCAGTAATAGAGATTGTGTTTGCCCTATTCGCTAAATTGATGTTCTTGAGGGAAGAGACTGTACCATCCTTCAACCTACCATTAATCAATTCACTGGAGTGCAGTTAAGGCTCAAATCGAGTCGCCTGGTTGTCACTGATGTGACTTTTACTCATTTAGTCTTTGAAATATTCTTTCTTTTATGGATCATGTGTGCAAATCAAACAAATCGATCTAGATTTAATCTCTACTGAATGTTGAATGACTCTTCTGTGTAAGCACACATCAAGTAGACAAATAGACTTTGCTGTAGTTTTGGAATGAAGTTCAAATGGTCTTCATCTCTTGGCTGAAGTTTCTCACTCTTTTTGGTCTTCTCTTTTTGGTCTCAGATCCCCCAACTGTTCCCGAGGCCAATCCCAGTGAACCCTGCTCCGAGGAAGTCAACACCCCTTCAAAAACTGAAACAGGACTTGAAGCCAGCAAGCCTGCAAAGATGGACACCACAAGGAAGTCAGTTACCCCGACACGACCAGGCGTCATTCCAAAGTTGCCTGCGACACCTACTCCGAGGTCAAGTTGTAGCCCTCAACACAAGAAAGGTGGGTATCCTGAAGACTATCTGCCATTTATCTTAAGTCAAGTTCAATATTTGGTTTTTATACTTTTTATTATATACAGTCCTCTTTATCACCTTTTTACCCCCAAAAGATCAATGTAAGTAGAAGCATTATCAGTGGCAGGTCATTGAGTTTACATGGTTTCTAGTTGGTTGAAGTTGGTCTTCAATTGATTTATAAGGTTGATCAGCTGCACTACCAGCTAATAGTGCCCAGATCAGCCATTTTGGTGAAGCCAGGTTTGGTTGGATACCATCTTGAGGTGCTTAAGGTCTTCTAACACAAAAATTGTTGACTTGTTTGACCTCCATAATTTGGTATATCCATTTTTCTAACATAACATTGATCAGATTCAGAATCAGAATGAGCTTTATTCCATGAGAAGCATTCAGGAAATGTCTTTGGGAGAAAGGATCCAGACCTTTGCCCAAAGCCTTGAAAACTTTCAGAGGCATTTGTTTAATGTCCCACAAAGAATTTCCATAGTCAGTCCTCTGTAAATGCTTCCAGACTTATTACATTAATGCAGAATCAGATCCGTTTAGTGAGGTAAATGTTGATGCTAATACTGATTTGTGGAGGCTGGCGACAGGCAGTTCCTAATCGCCTCTGGTCGATCAGCTTAGGTGAAGCAATGAAACCTGACTGGGCATCACATTTCACAGAGCTGTGCCAACTGGAGGGATTTAACCCTCCTCCTTGGTTCAGTCACGTTCATAGTATAATGACTTGACTTGTACAAGATCATGTAGACACATGTTAATGGGAGAGTTGTTGGGTTTGAGAAAGTAAGCAGCTTTTTTTTTTTTGCCTACTTCATTGTTGCCTTGCCTCTTTATATAACTGAGGATGTGGTTATAGACTAGAGCGATTGGTGAGTAATTATGTGGGAAAAGCTGGTTCAGCTGTGTTTAATATTCTTACTGTATTTGATACTGTAATGCAATTGTTGTTCGATTCACAAAATCATCTTTTTAATATGGTTGGTTCGGTTGTACGGAATTGAACAGCATGTAAGTCATTCAACTGGAAATGTTGTGGTGTGTTGACATTAGAATCACTTTAACCATGCTAAAGTAATCACAAATAACCATAAACTAATACATTGTTGTATTTAACTAAAACATTTATTTTACACAAAAGTGAATGGTATACATGCCAGGACTTTTTGAAACACGTTTGTCTCGAGTGAATCAAAATGAATTAGACAAGTCCAAGTGAATGTTTTTATTTATTTGTTTGTTTTAATCTGGTTAATATATATATTTATTATTATTATGTATTTTTCTATAAACTTTTATACATTTGTTAAATTCAATTCAATTCATAGTAATATAAATGCATTAGAATACAGTATTAAAAGGAGTATTAAAAGGAAAATACCAGTTGCATTTATTCAGTTTGTTTATTTCATTTGTCATTAATAGTGTTTTTGCGGTATTAATGATTATTCAATTAACTAAAAGTTAATTTTAGCTTTTAATTTTAACTTTTTACCTTTAATTGACTGATAATTTCTTGACAAGTCAAGTTTTGTTATCATTTAGCCTCAGACAGGTTTATGTTATTCGACGAATTCATACCACCGGTTGTGCACAGTTCAGCTTATCCCATCATAAAATTGATTACTGCTGTCAAGCAGCGGTCGAGCAGAACCTCTTCTAAAACTGAACACTCTGTTCCACAGAATATGTTCATCTATTGATCCTGGACTGATGCTGCCTCATTTATAATGCATTTGTTATGTGAAAGAACATTAAAAGACCTGAAGGAAGGGAGGAGCTGAATATCAGAGTCATACTGAATGCTGAATCATATCTTCTTTTTTTTTCTCTCCCCTATTAGATTGATAGTTTTGAAGGCTTACACATCACTGGTAAATTAGAAGCATAACTGCGCCTTTGTCTTAAGGTGATGAATCAACAAATAGTAGTTATTTTTCTCAGGCTTGTTTTTTCATTTTACTTTGCAATTTTAAATGAGCAAAATCACACGAGTACTGTCAATCACGGCCATGATGATATACAGCCATATCGCAATGCGAAGAGCTTGATATTGTGTTTATACAATAGTTTGATGGCACAAGTGAGTAAATAAATAAGAAACAACAACAGTGTCTTTAAAAACCCTCTTTTGGGCAGAACTATGTCCACTAATTAAAATCTTAAGTTGACAGTTTGATAGTTTTAAACTAGTAACTAAAGGAACGTTGAGTCGCGCTTCATTGAAGCTTATTGTATTATGAGAGAGAGATTGATATTCCTTAGGGGAATTTTCATAATTACAAAATTACTTTGAATGTCCACTGAGGAAAGTGATATCTTTGTCTTTGTCCTTTTAACAGTTAAGGGGATTTCCCATGACAGCGCTAGTCAATGCATTTGTAAGGTTCGTCTTATAATGTGTTATTTTTAGAGTAAAAACAATGTTCTAGTTTACCACCTTGTTTCAGTCCCATTCAATATAAAAGTCTTTGCTACTTACTCGTACTCATGCCATCTGCCGCAATAAACAATCAATAATCAAAAATCACTGATGTTGAAATCCCAATCTCTTCCTCAATACCAAATACAGCATGTTATTAATATAAAATATTATTATTAATTAAAAATATATTTAAATAAACAATATTAACCATTATAAAAGAATAAGAAGTTTGTACAATATGAAATAAACATAAGCAAACAGTTCATTCAAAACTACAAAAGCAGAAAATTACAAAATTATAAAGTTATGAAACTTAACTTTGCCCTTAGCCAAATCAATTTGCTCTGGAACAAGTAATAGATTAACTAGGCCAAAGAACTAATTATACTTAAGAGCCACTTGTAATGAGCGCTGCTGGCCTTTCATTGTTTGCATATTTACATCCATATCTATTTCTTACTGTAGGGTATGATGCTGTTAGTGCCAGGATCCATAACCATTAGACATCACCACAGTTCGAAGGGAGCAGAGAGAATATTGTCTGTTGCGTTGAGTGAATGAAAAGCCTTTGTATTTGCTGTTTTTACTTGGATTTTTGATAGAGATTTTATGCCATTTAAAATGGATAGTAAGGGTCTTGAATTGGTCAATTAGCTTATCCAGATTGTGTTTTTTGAGCGCTTCCTTCAGGTGATGGTAAGGTCAGTGATTATGCACCACTCCGCTGCCTCAGACCCTCTGGAGTCCCTTTCTGGGTCAGTCTTCTGCTTTTTCTGTCTCTGCCCGGTGACTCATCAATGGGAACATGGGCTGCTCTTAAAGGGATAGTTCACTTTGAAATAAATTTTTGATATGTTTTAGCTTGCTTCAAGTGTATCCAAGATGTAGGTGTCTTTGTTTCCACAGTAGTTTCAATTTTGATATTTGTTGACTGTCAGTCATACACAGTCAAAGTGAACTATCCCTTTAAGGGCCCACAAGACTCTGCGCATCAGCTTCCTGTGCTCTATAAATACTCAAAGTGGAGCACAAGTCATGAAGAGGAACACTGCTGGTGTCTTATGATCATTATTAATGAGTGAGTTTTTGGTTCATCAGATAAAAGTTTTACTAGACTTTGTGGGTCATAAGACGCCAACACGAAGATTACATGGGGTCAGTTCTGAGGTTTTTCATTGGAGTGCTGATGAATGATGAACTCTAAGTGAACTAGTTTGAATGTTTAATTAGAACATAGCTTTGTTCTACACTGCAGGTGCTGTTGAAGGCGTAACAATTGGAAACTGTGACTGTGTAGTAGTCTTAATGTGTTGTGTAATAAATCAAGTGCACATATCAGAACATGTAGAAAAAACCACACCCCATGTGATTGGTTGAATAGATAATTGCATTAATGAGAAATTGAAAAGGTGTTCCTAATAATCCTTTAGGTCAGTGTCTATGTTTATATATACAAATGCATAATGTTTGATATGATTTTTGTAGTTTTACTGATGCATCTGGTGTGATAAATTTGTTGTAGAGACCTTTTCGAGGGATACCAAGTAGTTTGCCATATTTAAAACTTTCCTAAGTAAAAACTCTTTTGTTCCACTCTGCCATTTCCAAACCAACAGGTAATGCAAAATGTAAAAACACTTTAAATAAAATCTGAGGTCTGAGATATTGAATGACACCGTCTTCCTAAAGAAGTATATTCTTAGCTGTCCTTTTTTGTTCACAGCTTCAGTCCATTTATCCCACCTCAGTTTGTGATCAAAGACAACCACATACATAATATATATATGTATACAGTATGTATGTTTGTTTTTTTGCCATCATGGCATGGTGTCTTTTTAGTCCAGGTGAAGTTTCCCTTCTGATGAATGTTAATTTGTGGCGTTGGGTTGATTGTATCTGTACTGCAAGTCCTCAGAGCTTTCTGCTGTCAGCCGGAGCGTGTGAATGCTGCTAGTCTCTGTGTTTGCCAGCTTCCAGTGCTTTATAGCGCCGCAGATGTGAACACGGCCTCTACCACACAATAACCTCTCTCATTCCCGGCACCCTGCTGTCTGACGGTCTCTATCTCTCTCTCTATCGCTGTCTGGGAGAGCTTTAGTGGGTAGAATGACAACCTCACTTTTTTTTCAAGCAAAAAATGTTGAGTGTTTCACCAAAACTGACCATTTGATTCTGCCTCTTTTCTCAGATGGAATGAAGTTGGATGAGAGGCTGAAACAGGCGAAGGAGAGGAGGGAGGAGAGGGCCAAATATCTCGGTAAGGTAACACAAGACTGACAGTGAGACAGCACCCCCTACTGTCTGGGGTCTAGATGTGTTGACACAAAAAAATATCATTCATATCATATCATTCATGGGTCAAACTCCTGAGGCTTGTGCAACAGCAAAGGTTGACTGTAAAGAAAGACATGTTTGCAGAGCTTTTATAGATTTTAATGAGTTAATTAGTCAGAGAGGTTTGACATTTGTCACTTGCTTTTGAGACTAACAAGCATGTGCATATTTATATTTTTCCCCATTTTTCTTGTTTTCCATTCTATATGCCTTTGTTTTAATTTTTTTTTTCTTAATAGAAATACATATAAATTAACTTAAAATTAATAACTAAATATGTAATAGCTAATGTAATTTAAAATTAATTTATATATGTTTTATACAGTATGTTTGTATATATAACTACATATGTAATAGCTAATTTAATGCTGCAGTCCGGAGTTTTCTCTTTGTCGCTATCTCTGTTCAAAATCTGCAATTGTAATCATTTGTGGAATTATCAATTTTACGTAAGTTGTACTTCAACACCCTCGATACACAGAGCTAGAAAGAGCACATCTGAGCTAGAAAAAAACATCCACTTTTGTTCTGCTTTTTAAATTACAGTAAATCGCGCTAATGAAATCTGACAATCAAAACTGTGCAAATTATACTTTGTTCTCAATTTGTTAATGTTAACAACGTCAGCATTGCATGCCGTGACTACATGTAATGTACAGTGGGTGAATCTCCAGTTGTCACTGGTGATTGTCGTTTGAAACTCTCTCGATCCGCCATCAAATTATTAAGTTTAAATATATCAAGTGCTGTGGGAAAAGGCTATAAATCTCCACCTCCAGCATCCTCACACGCATTATTATCCTACTAGCTGAGACTCCTTCTTTATGAGTACAGATGTGACGTAATGACACAAAGACATGCTCGAATCTCCTGCGGAAATCCACCAGTGCCACTGGAAATAAAAACATTATTACAAGTTTACCGTTTTGATTCGATCTAAGGGAAGCAGATAGTTTTGAACACTGGCTGGTTATGTATTTTCTCAAATATGTATTTTGGATCATTTTTAACCCCAAAAAAGCTACGAACTGCAGCTTGACTTTATATTTGCATTCTTACTCAAATACATGTCAGGATCTCTCTTTAAATCAGCTCTGGCTTGGTTACTTATACCAAGTTCTTCTGACTATTTTCTAGGCTCCTATCTAGTATTATTATAAACCTTTTTCCTAGTTTTAGCAATTATGACTTATGATAATAACAACTACTAAATGTGTTGCTACTTCTGTGCGTTTACTAAACCAGCACTGTGAGAGTTTCTCCTCTTCAGAGAATTATAAATATCTCACATGCTCTGTTGTGTTTGTCCATCATATCACTGTGCTTGTCATGGCTGCTGAGACTGCTGTGCTGCTATGCTTTGCATGATTGACAGAACGTTTTTGTCTTCTTTTTCACTTTCCCTCCCCAGAACAGCATAGCCAGACTCAAGGTAAGCCACTCCCCTGTCTCTGGTGGTGTTGGTGACCGATGCGCTTTTGGGTCTTCATCCCATACTCTTTCAGTTACTTCTTCTCTTGTAGAGCTGCTTTCCATTTCCGCCGTCTCTCACTCATAATCATAATTAGTGACAGGTTGTCGGGTGTCTTAAATCTGAGTGAAAACTGCCAGGCTAGGTTTGTCACTCTCCCCTGCTGGAAAATGATGCTTAAACCAGCTTCTACATACCTCTTTCTACATAGATGGTCAAAATTGGAAATTTGTAGTCATTAGGTGGACTGAATTGGACCACACAGTGGCTTCATTATATGTTTAGTTTGGAGTATACATTGTTTTTTTGTTTTTCCAGCAGGGTCAGCTATCCTGATTTTACCCTAACACTTTGCTTTTACAATTGGCCAAATGTGAATTTCATTTTCATACAATGATTAACATGACGGGGCTTGTCTGTATATTAGTAAAAGGAAAATAAATGTGTCCATGAACTAATTAACACTTCGATTTTTAGGTTATCTCAAATCTTTTGTTTATTTTGGGTTCATATCCTTTACATGTAGGCCTATGCTAAATAAACGACACAATTTTTCAGCACATCTTTCGAGACATTTAGGTAATATTGTATTTTTTACGTATGACGATAAGCTGACTCTATTTTGGTTAATGTACACATCATTCTTGTTGTTTATAGCACTGGGTTCATTTAAAGTTCATTGGTGCACCAAATTTGAGCTTTTTGACCGCTAAACCTCACCTTTCATTTTATATGTTTTTCTGGACTCTTGTTTTCATAGCACGTTTTTATAAGTTTCCCATAATTACAAACTGCATAATCCATTCAGACCCAGAAAGAACATTTTCTACTGTCTTCACATCTGCTGTGCCTGAACTGTGAATGAATGTAATCATGATAAACACACGTCCTGCTACATTCCAGCCGCACGAGTGCAATGCGTGTCATTTTAAACCTAACTTTTCAGGCAGTAGTCAGTCGGACTCATCAATCCAGCTCTTCTGCTATCACCATGGACTTTCACATTAGTGTGTAATATTTGTGTGGGCTGCATTGAGTGAGTCAAATGTTCATTGTAGGACATAGTGTCTGTGTTATCAGACTGTGGGTCATCTTCTATCTCCTATCTGCTAGCAGGATTATGAAAGTTTGATGAAGAGTGCCAACCTGGCACTTTCAGGCCATCACTATTTTATAACTGTGGAGCTCAGAGAAAAAGGCTCAACCTCCACCCTCACTAGAGATGAAGGCTCTCAGCGGAGAGTCTTTTCATGTCAAGCCTTGCGTTCACACTTTTTTAAAGGTATAGCGGAGGATTTTCTTTTTCCGGGTGGGTAGTCTATACTATTGGTCCACCTAAGTGTCAATCATTCTGGTAATATGTTTACGTAAGGCCGTTGTACGTGCTCATCCCTGGCACAAGTCATGCACCGCATAGACACGGTAAACATCTCAATTTGTCTAAAGTAGCTTTTTGACCAAATGATAAATGGTATCACCCTGAAATATTCTAAAACCTTGTGTGTTCATGTGTTCATATTCTAAAACCTTGTGTGTTTATTATTACACAAATGCAACAAGCTACTTCTCCATTACATATGCAACTATGTATAAAAATAATGTATTATTAACAATGAGACATATTAGGTTAAGGACCAACGTAATAGCACTTCTTATATGTTGCCATGTAACGTAATTGCGATTTGCAAAATAGTTTCCTCAGAACGTATTTCGTGTGATACAGGGTTGCACATACCATGTCTTGAGTCCTCGGTCACTCAATCGATCAGTATAATAAGTAAATAAAACACGGAAGGGCATTTGACATGTTGTCTTTTTTATGAATGTTTTTGAGTTAGTTTATAATTTGCAACATAATTGTGTAAGGCGTAATAGACGTTCCCTCTCGGGAGCAAGAGTGTTGTGTTTGTCCATGTGCATTTTTTTTCAAAATTGGAGAGGGCGGGTCTTCTCTAAAATTCGGAAAGATCCTCCGCTATACCTTTAATATTGTAAATATTCCCCATTCTGTGAATGATTTCATCATGTTTAGTCTAAAAGCTTTGTGCGGTTAGTATTTACTCTGATTTGACAGTTAGACCACTTGATTTTGATAGCATTTCTCATCTCTTACACAATGGAGCAGAGTGGAGCTTGTAACATATTAATAACCCCGTCATCATCACTTGTGTTTGTTTGAAGTGACGTCATTGTCAAAACACCATGATTATGAACAAGATGTTGCATTTCATGAATGTTAAAAGCTTTAAAGCCACAAACCACTCTCTTTAATTCAAATCCCAGTCGGATATTTTGACTTTATTTCCTTAAGACACAAAACCTGCAGATTTTCCACTTTATCTCCATAAAAGTAATTACATGTCTTTCTATGACAATTTGCTTTAAAAGAGGTTATAAAGGTGTTTTTGTAATGACTTACTAGTTAGAATTATATTGTAATAATCATTTGGGAGATGTGATCAATGGAAATAGTTTCACAAAATATTTTATTAGTTTACAAGATATTTAAATACGCTACCATTCAAAAGTTTGGTGACAGTAAGATATTTTTTTGAAGACATTAATAGTTTTATTAAGCAAGGATACATTAAATTGAAAAGTGACGTAAAGGCAGTTACAATTTTTTTTTTTTATAAAAAAATGCTTTCTATTCATAAAAAAATCCGAAAATAAAAACTATCACAGTTTCCTCAAAAATATTAAGCAGCACAATTGATAATGTAATGTTTCTTGAGCACTAAATCTGCTTATTAGAATGATTTCTGAAGGATCAAGCGACACTGAATTATGGCTGCTGAAAATTCAGCATTGCCATCACAGGAAATGCATTTGAAATGCATTTTAAATAAAATAGTTAAAATGGAAAGCAGTTGTATTAAATTGTATCTTCTTTTACTGTATTTGATAAATGCAACCTTGCTGAGCAGAAGAGTCTTCTTTCAAAAACATCTCAAAAATCTCGCCGACCCCAAACTTGTGAATGATATTAAAGGGATAGTTCTCTCAAAAATAAAGATTCTTTCATTTTTCTCACTTCTGTCATTCCAAATTTAATATGGTAAAATAGACCTAAGAGTTATGCACTCTTTTTGATCCTTTCCAAATCCTTTCCATTTGATCAAATGTCTAATAAATGAACATGCATTGGGATTTGTGAATGATGGGTGTTTGAATGCTGGGCTGGTTTTAGTAGCTCACAGGTTCTTCCTCTCCCTCTCATGTAGCTGCTAAAAAGTCTCAGTGGCTGGAGAAGGAGGACCGCGCACGGCAGGTGCGGGAACAGCAGCTGGAGGAGCGGAGGAGAAAGCTGGAAGAGCAGCGGCTGAAGGCAGAGAGACGCCGCTTAGAGCTGGAGGAGCGACAGAGACAGAAACTTGAGAAGAACAAGGTGAGAGAGCAGTGGTGGTCAGTGCAAACCCATATAACACAATCTATTACATCCTCTAATTGTACACACTCAGAGAGTTTGTGAGGTTTCTGCCAGCTCGGCAGGGATTGTTTTCTGGGAGTTTTGCTAGGGGAGTTATTTATTAGTGAAAGTGGAGCACGTTGTTCCAGGGCTCTAAGATTTCCCCTTTGAAAGATCAATACTGTTTTGTCTGTTCCTCTCAGTGCCCATTATATATAAATGAACAACATAAAGTGTTTGCCACACTTCTGTTACCCTTTAAAGTGATTTTCATATTGGAATTGATTTGGGGTTTTTTTCAGGAGCGGTATGAGGCCGCCATCCAGAGGTCTGGTAAGAAGACATGGGCAGAGATTCGGCAGCAGAGATGGTCCTGGGCCGGAGGCTTAAGCGGCAACTCCAGCCAAAGCCAGAGTGAGTTACACAAACAGCACATACATTAACACACAAACTGTGCCTGTTGGTAAAGCTATCTGGTTCCTTTTTCACATTAACTGCATCCGTCATCTGTGTTAAGAAAGGAGTAACGGGAATGCCATCGGCTTAGATGTGAGATGTTAGAGTGATGCTTCTAATATTGTTCTCTCTTTTTGTCATCATTAAGTGCTTAAGAATTCCCACAAAATTACAAATGTACATTTTCCATTTCTAAAGGAAATGTAGCAGTTTCTCTAGCTGCTTTGATTTTTCACTTGTGAGATGGTTTCTTGTGTCTAGTGTGGAAGAGCCTCACAACCAACTAATGGTGCGTTCTATTATACCCAACGAACCGACTCGGACCTCGGATTTGACGTCACGTCCACGTTTCAAGCATTCTATTATGTTTTGCTTGTCCGAGTCGGAGAAAGCTGTTGTAATGGTAGCACTGGCCGAGTACCAGGCACTTACATTAAAATAAACATATTATGACTACACCTCATCAAAACGCAGCCATTTGAACTTGAAAATGTTCACTTTATTTAAAGTTTTTCATGTTAATCTTCTGTTAGCAACGCTAGCAACGTTAGTAATTGCACTCACAACAACCGATTCCCATACCTACAGGGGACGCAGTAATACGAGTGATTATAATCGTCATTTAAAATACCAAATCGGTTCAAAAACAATGAATACAATTAATTCTTACAAGTCACAGGGCGCAGCCATTTTGAATTCCGAAACGGAATTCTTGCTCGGTGTCCTCACGGTTGTCCGACGTCCGAGAGGAGAAATCCGAGGAAAGGGGGCGTGTTGCTAGGCAACGTCTGTCGTCCGTTTCGGATCTCCGAGACGGATGAATAATAGAACGCACCATAAACTCTCTTTACTAATGCGATAACAGTCACTTCACTTCTGGAGATCATCTGGGGATTTTATGCGCTACTAGTAAACACAAAATACTATATATATTTCCATACTAGCTTCAGTTTCGGTGAGCTTCGAGCCTCACAAGAGTCTACACGCACAGAAGGTGAACGTTCCAACTATATTCATCACAACCTCGTTACCATCAATATATCATCCCTTATCACTGACCGTATATATACAATATACACACTGTCATTCAGTAATATTGTGATATTGTGTACAATTGAAAATACCTGTTTAATAATGTAAAATAATATATTTAAAATGTGATTTATTTCTTTGATGGCAAAGCTGAATTATCAGCAGGCTTCAGATTTCATGCTCAAGAAACATTTATTTATTGTCATCACCGATGTTGAAATTGGTTGTGCTGCTTATTAATGATTTTTTTGTGGAATTAGTGATATGAATCTGTGATGAATAGAAAGTTGAAATGGTAATCTTTTGTAACATTATACATGTTAAACCAAGATAATTTCACATGAACGCTGCATTTTCTCCATTTCAATGTTGCTGCTATCAGATTTTAAAGCAACAGAATTTAGGCCTGTTTTTCCTTTTGGCCGGAAACCAAAGAAGGTCTTTTATCTGGCTGAAAATGTACAAAAACTCAAAAGGTGAACAAAAACATCTTCATAATTGTCAGTTACTTGCCTTTTATGTAATTGATGGGTCTGTATATAACAGGACTTGCTGAGAATGCTGGGAATTATGGTAATGAACTTCAGCGCAGCTTTGTGCCACCTCCCCCAGGACACAAGACCTCAATTTCTAGGCTAACCAATGCTGTTTCTCCAAGGATCTTATTTTCTAGCCGACTTGATTTAGTTTTTCCTCTTCCAAAAGTCGTGCACAGTCATTGTAGTCCCTGATGGTGTCTCAAGAGAAGAAGTGAAGGCAGTGACCCCATTACAAAGCCTGTAGACTCTATAATAATGAACTTTCAGCAGCACAAGTTGAGTTAAGATTCAGACACAGCGATCATACCAATGGGTATCCGTGGCAAAAATGACCATCTTTGGCTGTTCAAACAATAACTTTAAGATATATTTAGAGCAATATATATTTACTCCTCCTTAATATCAGTGCCTGTTTTGTCTGTTTGAGGGATTCATATTTAATTATTTCACTGCCACCTCCCGTGTCGTCTTGGTCCCCTCAGCATTGTGTATATATATTCAGTGTTCTGTGAATTTTGCAGGCAGATGCTCAATATCAGCGGTCAACCTGCCCAAACATGTGGACTCAGTCATAAACAAGAGACTCTCCAAATCCTCTGCCACTCTTTGGAACTCCCCTAGCAGAAGTAAGGACATGCCTCCAGATCTAGCCCCTCCCCCTAGCCTTCACAGGCTCCTCCCTTCGCATATTTATACGTTTCCATTTTATCCCCCCACCTTTGATTTCTCCCTTGAGACCAATCACCTGCTCGTCCACCGCGATCACTCAATCACTCCCTCCTGTCAATCCGCCTGCTCGTCAGTGTCTTCAGTTAATGTGGTCAAATATGAATTTTGAAATCTTCGCCTATCACCGCCGTCGACCATCCTCAGTGGCTCTTCTTTGTTTGTTTATTTTTGGTGGTGGCTTTCTCTGTCCCTTCTTGATGTAACCGTCTTCCAAAGTGTTCTTCACAAGAATTCTTGCATACTTCTCCATACCTTCATACGCAGTATGATGCATGATAATACAGTGGCCCCAGAAAGTATATGGACACTTAGGCCACTCTTAAAATGCTCATTAGGAAATGAAAAATCAAACAAATGATGCTAGAGATTTTCTCAAAACAAACTTTTTTCTAAGCCAACAAAGTGTCCAAATACTTATCTATTTGAACAATATATGTATTGTTTCATCGATGACATCATACAATGTGGTTCAATTCATTAATGTTAGTTAAAGCATTAGCTATCCATTTATTAATCTAGATTTAATTTAATATTATTTAAATTGAATGACTAGCTGTTTCAAGGATTTTAAGAAATGCATTAAAAATGTTATTTGTTACCTAATGCATTAACTAATGTTTATGAATTGATGCTTATTGTAATGTATTACTGTTTTATCATTTAAAAACATCTTTTTGCGCAGTGTTTAATGTGTGCATGTGCCATATTTCACTTGATTTGATGTTTTGTTGACATGCAAGTGTTGACAGTGTTCAAACACTTTTGTGGCCATGGAATATGCTTAATCTGCTGCCATATTTTAAATGAGAAATGTGTCGATGGATCTACGCTCCACAAATAAGGGTCATTTATCAGTGAATTGGGGTGAAGTTATGCTAGTTGATTGTGGTGCTTCTTTTATTGGGTGTACTGAGGTCATAAACTCAATCGCAAGTAGGGCACACTCTATTTTTGAGTGCTCCCTACAACAATAGATAGAGCAGAAAGAAGACGTCATGCTCAGTGCTCAGACAGCTAATCGAATCTGGAAAGTTTTCCATGCGCAGAGACGTTAGCTGAGGAATGTTCAGCTATAGGCAATAACTCTCTCTATCTCTCTGTCTGTTTCTAAAAGGCCTCTCTACACCCTCATTTTTCTTTTGCTCTTGCTTTCTCATCTCTTCTTGAAGATCACATACGTTTAGATTGTGAGTTCTCAGAATTAGCAATGATGATTATTAAGTTTTTCTTTTTTAATTTTTATTGAAAAATTTTATCATTGTTATTTTTGTTCATTGTTGTTTTTTATTCTATTTTTTTCCTGTTGTTAGTCCTTTTGTGTTTATAATTCACCCTAAAAAAATTCTGTCGTCATTTACTTGAAGCAAACTGTATTGACTTTCTTTTTTTCTGTGGAAGACAACTAGATGCATTGATGAATCTTCACAAAGTTCATAGTCACCACTGCAAAAAGAAATTGGGGAAAAAAGGAACATAAATGTAGTCCATGCGTCCTCAGATTTGGAGCAACACGAGGCTGACCAAATGTGGGCAGTTGAATTATTATAATTTTGGGATGAATTATTCGTTTAAATGTGTGCACTCTCACAAAAGTTATTTTTTGGACTTGTTTACTGTTCGCTTTTCTAGCATGTAGCTGGGTTGTGAAATCCATTATCCATGTTGACAGCAAGGGAGACAAACACAGTTGTTTGTAATTGCCATGATTTTCTCATTATAAAAAGAAATATTACAATTATTGTATTTATGTAAAATATAGCATCTGCTTCTCAGCCTTGAATACCAGCAATTGGAGTTCAGAATGAGAGAAGGTAGGTGATTGTTGCTCATATATAATGTGGAAACTAACGATTCTTGTTTTCTTGCAGCTCGTAGCATGCAGCTGAGTCCATTGGAGAGCAGCATTGTGGACAGGCTGATGACGCCCACTCTCTCCTTCCTGGCTCGCAGTCGCAGTGCTGCCAGTGTGCTGAACAACACCAGAGACACCCGTGAGTGACTGAATACCATCATAGGATCTTTTATCTCTGTGTTTAGCATCAGATAAAGTAGCTCAAGAAGAAGTTTCACATGTTTGGAAAGTCTTTTTAAACGCTAATTTGCTGTATTCTTCCATTTTTAGGGCCTGTGCAGGTTAGAAATAACAACAGGAAAAAAAATTTCTGCTCTATATGTTAAATGTGTTTTGTTCATGCAGAGTCTCCATTGTGCCCACGCTCCGCGTCTGCCAGCCCTCTCACAGTATGTTCACATCAGCCACATCGCTGCTCTGAGCGCTGGAGGGTCACAACCAGCACACCCAATATCGCCCAGCGCAGACGAGACTCCACACCTGTGAGTTATTTAAGGCTCCCTTTCACTCTTTCCATCTTTCTTATACTCTTTCTCCCCATGCATGTTATCATTTTTTGCTTTTATATGAGAGGAGGTGAGAAATTCATGCATCGTTAAAGTTAATGTTATTCTAGTGGCCATTATTACAAAAAAAAAATACGTAAGCTACAGAAACAGCATATACTGTACTGTGAAATATCATTCATGTGTAATTAGTCATGTAATGTGTCATTAGTACAAATTGTAATGAGAAATCATAAATTAGAGGTTGTAAAGAACCCTGGCTTTGAGTCTCTGTCTTTGAGGAATGAGGATGTGTTTATTTATTTATTTTTGTTATTTAATTTCTCAAAAGATGAGGAAGGATAAGAAGGACAAGGAGAGGGAAAATGAAAAGGAGAAGAGTACCATCACCAAAGAGACGATGCTGAAAAAGAGACAGTCCATGCCGTCAATGAAAACCAGAATAGAGTCCAGGTAAGATTTAACCATCAAATTGGATTAGTTTTAGTCTTTTAGGTGAGTATATGTATTTTTTATTGATTTATTTTCATTAAAATGGAAATTCTCAGAAATCGTCGTCTCATCAGAGTAAATATTCTTAGAAACACGCAAACTGTTGATGCTTATATTTTGTGAGCACTGCCTTGCATGTGCAAGAGGAAAATACAACAAAAGCTTTTAATGGATCTTTTTGCTCCGAGCGTCATCTAATTCTACAAGACCAATGCTTTATGTAATGCTGTCTCTGCTCAAATGTGTCTCCTGGTTGTCAGATGTCATAGTTTAGGTTCATGGTAAGCTAAATAGATGTGTAGTTTAGCTGTAAAAGTTACTTTTATCTGTAAAATTGGGCTGATTTTGTCTGTTCTTGCCCCTACTATGAACAAAAAATAAAATAATAATAATAAAAAAAGCTCAGACATTAAATTAAGTTTCTCTTCATGTTTCCAGTCCGAGTCCACTGTCCAAACCAAGATCTGCGTCTCCTGTGACGCCCAAAGGCCGCGTGTCCTCCCCCAGTCCTGCAGTCTCTCCCAAACCACCATCAGCACGAGCAAGCCCCAGTACTCCTAAAGCCCGACCCAAGAGGGCAAGGACCCCTGCCCGCGTGGAGAACCGCACCGCCTCGCCTGTTGCCATAGAGAGGGTTCGAGAGACCCGCAGGCCCGCTACGCCTGAAGAACCAAAGAGTGAGTCTGGTCATGATGAGTGTTGCCACAGAGGCTTTTATTCAAAGGAGTATTGTGTCCAAAAACACACTATGTATCCCAACGTTTCTGTAATTTTACGCTTTTTGTCCTCTCTCCAGTCCTCATTTTTACCCCGCTCCGTTTCTCTGTGTTTTCTCTAGCCTCGTCTCCCGTTCCCTCCATTTTCGTGTCATCAGTTTCGGACACGTCCCCGGTTGAAAGTTCACCAGTCATGTCGGTTTCCGCACCCTCTGTCCCCGAGGAGTCCCCTCTTGTCCCCGCCCTCCCACAGGTGACTTCTCCAGCTCCCTCTCCAGGCAAGCCCATGGCTGGCACCAATAACCCAGAGGAAGCCACCCGCATCCTGGCTGAGAAAAGACGACAGGCCCGTGAACAGAGAGAGAAGGAAGAGCAAGAACGGAAAGAACAGCTTGAGAGAGAGAGGTTACCTATTTTACTGTTTATTTAAGTTTAATTTGGCATGAAACAGAAGTTGCAATAGTCTTTTCTTCCCTATTGTGACCTATATCCAAGTGAAACGGCTGCTTGAACAAGATACAATGTATGATGGGACTTTATCCATCAGGAATTGATTGGATTGTTGTGGTTTGCTATTGCTATGATTTCATGTGAATGACAGGTTGTCTCACCCTTGTGCCGAAAAACACGTCATAAGAGGAGAAGGGGAAGTTATTTTGAATAAAGATTATGAGGACACATGAAATAATAATATAAAAACCCACTGTCTTTTTAGGTGACGTAGTTACATGTACTTATATAGTATTAACAGTGAATTATGCATAAGTACTTTATTAAAATAAGTAACTAACCCTAACCGGAATTTTATGGTAAATACTTGTAGTTTATTAGTATTACTCAGTACTTACTGTATTTGAGTAAGTACACGTTAAAATAAAGTGCAACCAAAAATTATGTGCATGAACTATTTATAATAAATATTGCAATATTCCTTAAAAAAAATAATTGTTCATTTATAATTTCATGTTGAATTTAATTGAATTTTTTTTGTTTTTTTGCCTGTTATAGTTTGTATATTTATAATACATAATATATATTTTTGTTTTATTGTATACTATATATATATATATATATATATATGTCTAAGCAAAGGTATATTACATAAAAAATTATATATATATATATATATATATTTTTTTTTTTTTATGGAATATATCTTAGCTTTATATATAGCCTCCGCATCCATTCTGACTTCCTCATTTTTACACAGAATTTAAATGGATTGTCTGTTCCTCAAAGCAAACTCCGTAATGCAGCAGTTAGCGCACATCATGTGCTCATGTGGCAGATGTAGGTTTGAGTCCAGCTTGCAACATGAGCTGATTCCATTCCACCTTTCTCACCAATAACTGTCTGTCATTCTCCATTATATCTTTCTAATAAAGAGGCAGAAAAACAATTAAATCTATTAAATTTCACCTTTCGTATCCCTGCCGTCAAAGCCAAACTCCACCTCAGCTAACACACACTTTTGGTATGCTTTTAAACATGTCCTGCTCCACCAGGCCGTGTGCGGTGTGAGCTCCAGGAATAGCCTTGGCCGTGTGGAGCTGTTGACGTCTGGAGTTCTCTGTGACAGTTTATGAGTTTAACACGTTTATGAGCCAAAAGGGACTTTGGCAACAACGTAATGAGAGTTCCACACTGTTTATGCTCCAGTGCCGCTGGTAACTATGGGTGCAGATATTTTGGTCACCACTAAAAAGATTGACTTTCCATCCACTTTGCATTTGTCACTTTATGATGCATGGACCATGTCTCCAATTTAAAGTTTCATGGCATGTTACCACCGTCGCAAATTTCAATGTTGCAAGAGACATCGAAGTCCATTTGCATTCACACGTCTTTTTTTGTTAATAATTCAAAAACTTCAGTGGTTAATGGCACCTATCTGGAGGAGCTTTTATATCTTCTGTGTATACTGTGTACAATGACTGACTGCTCTTTCACACAGGCTTCAGCACGAGGAGAGGTTAGCACAGGAGGCAGAGGAGAGCAGGCGCAGGGAGGAGGAGGCGCGCCTCATGGCGGAACAGGAGAGGTTAAGAGAGGAGGCCCAGCGCCTGCAGGACGAGGAGGAGGCGCAGGAAAGGGCCAAAATCGAACAAGAAGAGAACGAACGGCTTCAGAAACAGGTCAGAAATGCAACTTCATTTCTTAGAATCCTAAGTGACACACTTCACTGTATAAATACATGTACTGACAAGTACATTTATAGACTTTCCAGCTCTGAATTTTCAGGAATTGCTCAGTTGTGTCAGAGCCGTGGCCTGGAAGTTACAGCACATACTCCAGACGTGTTGAGCCTACTGGACACATGGGTTCAAATCTGCCATCGGTTGTGTCCTGAATAGTGTAATTTTAGAATTATTTGCTAGTGTATTATTTATTCATATTTGGAAGTTGCTTTTATTTTTAGTTTTTTTTCTCAATTTAAGCTTTAGTCATTTTGTTATGTGCTTTTATATATTTTATTAGGTTTTTTTGTAATATTTTTATATAGCATTCATTTTTTTTATTAGTTACTACTTCAAGTTAGTTGGCAAAACAAAATTTCTAATTTTTTTTAGTTTAATTTTTCTTGTAATATTTATACTTTATTGCAGCTTTATTTTGATTGCCGAAAGTTATTTTTAATAAAAAACAAATGTAAAATAAATAAATAAATAAATTTAAAAAAAATTTCATTTAACAATAATAACCCTGGTCCGTAGGGTCCATCTTCTTCTTTCCAAATTCCCGTTTTTTGGGGGGGTTTTTTTTGTCTGCTTTCTACTTTCTTTGTTTTTTCAGAGGCATGTCAACACAATTCAGTCCTTATTATTTTACCCAAAATTTTCTGTTTAATGTTGTAAAATACAAGCATGCAATTCTATCTTCAATTTTTAAGCAATCAAAGAGCTATAATGAGACAAATTCTAGGCAAGTCCAATTACAAATCCGTTCTTTTCTCTTCTGTGAATGGATGGATATCAAGAGTGCCAATTGGCGCAGTAGCATTTTTGAGGTTTTACCACCACCTGGTGTTCAAAACTGTATTTAAATAGATATTAAGCAGGTATCAGGGTTTCCACAGTCATGGAATACATAGACATATAAGGGAAATTTAAAAACGCCTAGAAAAGACATTCTGGAAAAAAAGGACCTTTCTGTGGTGATCATGGATTTTTCTAGTTATACTTGGTTACTGAAAATCATTTGGAAATTCATTGGATAAAATGAAAAAGTGCAGGTATTATATGCTGTTGTTTTGTACAGAGGATGTGATCTGTCCTGTGACCTGTCACTGGAAATTTCTGATGAATGCCCATCAGCTTCAGATGAAGGAATGACTGCATAGGAAGCTGTTATTTTTATTGCCCTGGATGTTCAGTGTCAATCTGATCATTTGATTGTGTCTGTAGAAAGAGGAGGCTGAGGCGAAGGCCCGAGAGGAGGCCGAGAAACAGCGCCTGGAGAGAGAGAAACACTTCCAGAAGGAGGAGCAGGAGAGGCTGGAGAGAAAGAAGGTAGGATGGGTTTCCAACTCAAATTGATATTTTTCTCCAAAAGGTCACTTTGAAATCATCTTGCTTCTTGTATGCATACCCGTGTAGTCTAGTGAAATCCTTTTATTTCCTCTCCTAACTAATCACACATGGCCACAATAGCTTTCAGGCACCGAATGTGGTAGTAGAGTGAAATCAAATCATTAAAAGGCAAGCTCTCAAGATTTATGTACGTGCCATAAATCATAGAACACCTCGACATTCACCCCCTGATCCCTTTCTGTGAATGCTTATGTGTAACAGAGAATGGCCACTCTACTTAAGTGGTATTATCCCAGCAGGACACTGTTGTACCTCTACAAGTCAGTAGCAGGGCCATTTATCAGAACCCCGACCCAACTGTCCTCAGCTCTTGGTGTGTTTTTTTGGAAGACACGGTGTCCGTGGAGCTTGACACACTGCAGTGTTTTTTATTAGATTCAGAACATAGCGTTGGCCTTAAACACCTACCACTAACTTTATGCTTAAAGGGATAGCTCACCCAGTTTTATTAAAAAATGTCCTGGCTAATCAGTGCTTTATAATGGGAGTCAATGGCTGGTGAAAATTTGAAGTCCAAAAAAGCTTCCATCCATTGGAAGAGCCAGGACATTTTAATATAACTAATTATATTTGCCTAAAAGAACCTCTCCTGCTCTGCCATCATATACCCCTAGGATTGCTTCAGGGTGAGTAAATCATGGGGTCATATTCATTTTTGGGTGAACTATCCCTTTAAAGCTGCAAGATGCAGTTTATGCTTCTGAAACTTTTATAAATAGAGGAATGGAAAGATAAACAATACAAATCATCTTTTGTAATTGAGAATAATAAAGAATCATCAAAAAATAAAAATGAAATGACATAAAATACTAAGATAATAAAAATAAATAGACCACTTGTTTGGCATTTTTGTTATCTAATACATCATTTTTCATTACTTGTTTATAACTAAACTATGGAGTCACACAATTCTGAGAACAATTTAATTGCTAGATGTAAACACAGTTGTGAGAAAAAGTCAGTGTTTTATTCAGTGAAACAAGCTTCCATACTAAACATATGAGTGAAAATTTAAATGAACTTTAAACGGTTCCCTTTTTATTTAAATGAACCCCTCAAGTTTGTTCGAAACCCGATGATCTTGTTTTCCAGTATGATTTGAGAATCATCCAAAAAAGCATCTTGTGCTTCATAATCAAAGAGATATATGATCAATGTCACAATGTTGGCTTATTTGATTAGTAACTCCAAAATAGCGCATAATCATAATATTTCTGTCATCATCAATCATGTTTCCTTTGTTTTACAGTTTTGTCATATTCCTAAAACTGTTTATTTTCAGGTTTCAATTGAATTTGTGAAACTCTTGAAACATTTTCCATGTTTTTCTTTTGTCTCTTTTGTGCATTGTTTTTAGCGTCTGGATGAGATTATGAAAAGAACACGCAAAACAGATGCAGGAGAGAAGGTACAGCGCTGCTCTCTAAAACGGCCTTACTGTGGCAGTAGCACGGCTCCAATTTCCTCTTGCGGATCAGGAGCTCAGAATCTAATTGTTTCATTTACTTTTCTTTTTTTTATCTTTTCATACAGAAAGACACAAAATCTCCATCTCAAGCTAATGGAAAAGACTCAGATTCAGACATGAATAAAGGTAACTATGTTTAAGAATGTTAGTATAAAGCATTCATATCACTACTTCACTACACTACTGGATCATTTTTAGTTAGATCTGGCATTCAATACACATGTTGTTCTATTTAAACCTTCTTTGTAGGTCTGTTTGAATCAGCAACAGCAACATTTACGTCAGACTCGCACAACACGTACAAGTCAATTTTTTTGTTATTAAGATCTGCGTAAATAAGTACCCACATCTCCACCCCCTCCAAAACTCCTTTAAGATTAAAGCAGTAGTTCACTTTAAAAAAAAAAAACTGTTGCTGATAATTTACTCGCCCCCATGTCATCCAAGATGTCCATGTCTTTCTTTCTTCAGTCGAAAAGAAATTAAGGTTTTTGATAAACATTCCAGGATTTTTACTACTGCTACCACTAATGGGCTATAAAAATGGGCATTGCAAATCAATCACACTCCATTTGCATAGTGCTAGAAAGATGTTTAGTAGCTGTTTTTTCCAACAGCCAGTATTGTTCCCATTAGCGCCTTGAAATACATTCAGTATTGTTCAAAACTAGTAAAAATGTTCTTATTGTTTTTAAAAGAAATCTCTCCTGCTCACAAAGACTGCATTTGTTTGATAAACAAAAATACAGTAAAACGGTAATATTATTACAATTTAAAGTAGCTGTTTTATGTTTTAATATATAGTAAAATGTAATTTATTCTGGTGATGGAAAGCTATTTTTTATATAATCATTGTAATATGCTGATTTGGTGCTCAAGAAACATTTCTTATTATCATCAATTTTGAAAACAGTACATTTTTTTGTGGATTCATTTTTCCAAGATTCTTTGATGGAAAATAAAAAAAGGTTCAGAAGAGCAGTATTGATTTGAAATAGAAATGTTTTATAACATGTTAAATGTTTTTAATGTCACTTTTGGTCAGTCTAACATTCTTGCTTTTTTTTTGGACCTCAAACTTTTGAATGGTAGTGTAAATGCATTTACAAAAGGACACACATTTTCAGAACAAACTCCTATTATGTATTAAAATAAAACAAATAGCCGATGTAAACACAATGAACACTGGGAATCCGGGAAACAATTCCAGATGAACTGCTGAAATGTTTATTCTGTCAGTTGTACAACCATCTGGGAATGGAACATTGATTTGGCAAAGGAACGCTAAAACAAACAAGATTGCCATTTTAAGGAGTTATTAGCATGACATTGTCTTTTTCCTAGCAGCTGCTGACTACCAGCCAAGCACGGCATTGAAACAAGATGGTGTGAACGAAAGGTAAGTCCTGTGTTCAGAACAACTTCCCTTTTTGTTTTCTGTCAATTTCCCCAGAAGTGACTGTTTTGAACGCCTGTTCTCTATTGCAGTCTGTCCGTTCTTGTGGTGAACGGCGTTCAGCCTACCAAACAAGAGAATGGCCTGTCAGCAAAAGGGGAGGCGTCTCACTTCGAAGAGATCCTTCAGCTGTCCAATCACAACAATGGACGGGAGAAGTCAGAGACCGAAAGACCCGACGAGCCAATCATGTCGTTTGAGAGAGATGAATCATTCCTTAAAAAAACAGGCCCCATTAAGCCTCAGCATGTGGCAGGTGAGCGTCTAAAGAATCTCTCATGTTTCAGTGTCAATCTTTCATCAGATAGCAGTGAGAACAAAAATAAATCTTAGCATTATTACCTGTTCACGGTCCTGCCTGCCTTAAATGAGTAGTTCACTTTCAAGTGAAAATTAGCCCATGATTTATTCACCCTCGTGCCATCCTCGGCGTATATTACAAGTTTGTGTAAGAAAAGTAGTAATATTGAAAACTTTATAAAGTAAAATAACTAGCTTCCGACCAAACAAACATGGATTCCACTTAAGTCTAAAGCACAACTTATGTGAGTAATGTGATGTACTGCTGATATTTACAATAGGCCATGACGCACTACACTACTTCCAAAGTCAGTTGCGCAAGTTGCGCTTTAGGCACAAGTAGACTGCATATGGCCGTTTGGCTGGAAGCTAGAATTTTACTTTGTAACTTGTGTTATGAATATTTTTCTAACACAAACCCATCGTTTTGCTTCAGAATGCCTTTATTAACCCCCTGGAGTTGTGTGAAGTTCGTTTATGATGGATGGATGCACTTTTTTGAGCTTCAAACTGTTGTAAAACTTTGAAGAGCCAGGATTTTTTTTTAACATATCTCCGATTGTATTCGTCTGAAAGAAGAAAGTCATGTAAACCTAGGATGGCTTGACGTGAGTAAATAATTGTGTAATTTTCATTTTAAAGTGAACTAATCCTTTAAAATTGCTTTTGTCGGGGAAGAGTCGTTGTCCTTGTCTTTCTGGCTATTTTTTTTTGCGCCTGGAGGGTAAATGTTGTTTTAGGTGCGGGTGTCATACATTGCCCTGCGGGTGTGACAGGCGGGGTAACGGGGTGAAGAGCCTGGAAGGTTTTGGCACAAAGCTGGATTCCTGAAATGTTGTCAGGATGACCCGTTCTGGCCTTGCTTGCACCCAAGACTGGAAACAGGACCCCTTGGCTTAGCTCATCAACCCCCGTTCCTTCAGCCTGATCAGCATTACTTGGTCCCGCTGCCCTCGGCACGTACCTCCACCTGTCCTTCTGCAGACAGCCCTCTAGCCATAAATCATCTGCTAAGAAAACACAAGAGGGTTCACCTCATGCTGTGCCAGCTCGTAAACTGAGATGAACGTTTTTAATCCAGGATCTTTGCTTTGCCATATCTGGAGCGCTACTCTTGTAGCATTAAGTATAGAATTTTCACTGACGTATCATGTGACTGCACATCAGATGTCAATGTTCTCAATGCAGACACAGTGGGTTTTTGTGTGCACTTTGCTGAAAAAAGCATGTTGTACCATTCTAAGTTGGTTTAAATATGCTGATCTGCCCAGTTTACTGGCTCTAAATCAGTAATTCCTTGAGCAGGTTCCAGGGGGTTGGTGAAAATATTTTGATTTTGCTTGGTTTGTTCCGCTTGGGTTTCTTGCCTTTTTTAAATAAAAGTGTTTGTTTTCCATCAAATGTTGGATTTAAAATATGTGCATTTTGTCCAGTCTTTTTTACCCACAACATTGATTCTTTGGATTAATGTCAATGAAGGTGCCTTAAAAAGGCTGGGAACCATTGGTCTAACTGATCATTTTAACTAACTTGGTCCAGGTATGATGAAATAATGACCTACTTCAACCAGCTAAAAGTTGGGATGGGCACAAGTTTCCGATTATAGATCATGAAGAATCATTCATGATCATCAAGAAAAATTCTCATGATTTTAAATGTGCTCACTAGGTTTTATTTGATGAAAAACACAGTAAAAAAAAAATTAAAATAAAAAAGGATGAATTGAAAAAAAATGTTGAATTTCAGCAGTCATTACTCTAGTCTTCAGTGTCGCATGATTCAAGAAATATCGAGCTCAAGAAATTGTTCTTATTATTATCAATGTTCTTAATTGTTGGGCTGCTTAATATTTTTGTGGAAACTGTGATGTTTTTTTTCAGGATTCTTGGATGACTAGAAAGTTCAAAAGAACAGCATTTTTTTTTACTTATAATTGTTGTTAAACAAAAATTATTCACAAAAAAGAAACAAAAAAACGGTAGTGTAACTTAAAAATATTTCACACCAAATTAAAGGATTCATCATTATTTCATTCAAATTCAAATGATCTTTTTTTTTTAGATATTTATTGTGTAAAAAAGACTTAAAAGAATTACGCTATTTATTTTATTTTGTCATTTTTTTTAATCTCCATGTTCTTCCTGTGTCCTCCAGAGGTCCTCTGAGGGCATAAACTGTTGGATGAAGCCTTAAATCTGCGAGTCCCTCAACACGCCTGCCTGAGGGACGGGTGGAAAGAAGCACAGCATGAAAGAAACCTGTGCCAAACCCAAAAAACTGTCTTCTGTTTAGACTGTACAGAGCAACCCCACTATCAGAGCCTCTTACGGTTCATGGTGGAAATTACAAGGAAGCTACAAAACAATCAAGCTGAGCTAAATGCAAACATTCACCAGAATCGCATTCATCAAGACCCCGACCTCACCCACTCTTTCTGATCACCACAGTACAATTTTTTTTTTTAAAAGGTTGTGACAAACATTATTAATCCTTGTCGTTATTCATGCTGTTGTGGGTTGAATGCAGAAGTGTTTTATTTTTTAATGTTTAGTTATTTAACTTGAAAAAAATTGTAACTACTGGGTACAATTGTATGTGAATAATGTAAATTGGATCATGGGAGGAGACGATCTGTGAATAAACAGAATGAAAGGGACTGCCATGCCTGAACTCCACTGTTTCAGAGTTTTTAATGTTAGAGATGTTTTAATGCTGAGTTACCTGCTTGCATAAGAAATGTGTAATATTCAGAAAGATTAACCATGCATGCACATGCAACTGCAGCGACAAAGTTAGTTTAACATTTTAGTTTTAACTGCGACTCTAAAGATGACTGTAGAGAATTGTGTTTTCACTAGAGTCTTACCATAATATTCCTGGTTTTCTTGTTGATAGAACGCATGTCTCAATTTTATGCCTATTTATAAACCAGAACAGATCGCCCATACCCAAAGGTGTCCTGTTCAACTACAAATGATGACAATTTATAGCCACTCTGGAACTTTGTTATACCGTGAGAGCGCAAACTCTTGGCGAAATCTTTTTTTTTTTTTTTGTTTCCAATCATGGCCCACTCTTAAGGAGCACTCTTGAAACTAAGCATATATAACATATGCTCTTATAAAGGGTGATTCTGAAGTAATTGTTCCTGAAAAAAGGAGAAACATTGATGCCTTTATTTTATGTGCTGTAAATATTTGGTTTACTCTATTAAAGAGGGAATTTATGTTGTGAAAACTTCCCTTTAATTTCATTCAGCATAATTATTCTTATTTGTGCTGCAAAAAATATTTTCATAAATAGTATTTTAGCTTTTACTGAACATCCTTAAAAGTAGGGATGCATGATATATCGGCCACGATATCGGTATCTGCCGATATACGTTATCGTTTAATGTTATCGTTATCTGCACAGTAAGAAAGTTTGGCTGATATATTAAAGCATATAAATAATGGGTTATTTCCTTCATCTGAGACACTTCAGATGCACTTTTTAATGGCTTGAAATAGGATTGGAATCACTTCAGAAAACAAAAAAAATACAGTTAAGTACAACATAAAGTGCAAGTCTGTCATATAATCTACATAAGTATAATGAGAGCATTATAAGTGTGTGCGTGGGACATGGCTTTTAATGTTGAGACTTTTGTATTTGTAATCAGGCTCTCAAAATACATATAAAAATTTGGACTTTGATATATCGGTTATCGGCTTTCAAATATAAAGGATTGTTTGGTATCGGCCAAAATGTTAATATTGGTGCATCCCTACTTAAAAAGAAGATACAATTATATTATTGTCTATTATATCTAAGCAAAATTGTGTACGATAATACGTTTTTTATACAAAATTGGATCTTGAATTAAATGTATTCTTATATGCCATTGGCATTTTTCCTTATTGCAAAGAAAAAAAAAACTTACGAACAAAACAAAAATAATTCAATATATATTCTCTGAAAACAAACCCAAATATCCAATGCAATTTTAAAGTGATCAAATTTACAGTTGAGTTTTTTGATTATTTAAGGAAAAAAAAAACCCTACGACGTCAAAATTCGTGCTTTGTTTGCAGCTTAAATCTGAGTGATATTGCGCTGATGATCTGATAGAGGTAATGCATATCCTATTGGGAAATCTAACCAGGTCCAGGATGGCTCAGCTGTCCCTATTTATGCTTTTCCAGAAGGCCATAAAGCGATGAGTTAAACGTCTGTACCAGACTCCTGGCCAAGATCACATCCCTGTGACCTTTGTGCACATGCTTCGGCACTCTTGCCATCTGTATAGCATGACATCTAAAACCATCACGATTCATGTCTCTCTCTCTTTCTCCCTCGTCCTAAAGCCTGCTCTCAGAACTCGCTTCACCGAAGATTTTGCATTGTGAAGCAAAGGTCAAACTCTCAGTCCTGTTTGTTACTTTATTCTGAATACTCTCATTTGGTTTCATAGGTGGTGGGTGTCTGTAGAAACAGACTCCAGTAAACAGTGTAACCCTGATCTTTGTAAGAGTTTGGTTTAGTATTGTTTATTATGAGACATCCGCCATATTCATACTCAGCAGAGGGCAGCAAATCAAAGCGTATGGACCCACCAATTGGGTTTCTCTCACCCGAGGACAGTCAGACTGGTTGCCAACATTTACTTTTCTTCGCTGCCTCTGTTTCAAAGAAGAATGTGAAGAATGGGACTGGCTATATTTTCCAGCCCAAAATTCCCTGTAACTTTAGATGGACACATAAATGGCGGGTTTGTTTCAACAGAGTGGTGTTGTTGTGGGGATTGCTCCGATTGCGGGAACCGCTTGTGTTGTCCTGCAGGGGAAAATAAAAGGCTATTTTTAGCCCGATGTGTGTAGCTAGTGAGTTATTATAGCATAAAGGCAAAGCCAAGGAGATGAATTAATTCACCAAGGATGAGGAACAGTGGAAGGATATAACTGGCATAAATGCAATGGAAATGAGAAGACAGAGGTTCTTTCATAGTAAGGTCGTGTCACTCCTGAATGGCTTGGGTGTGAGATGAGTAAATGCATCATAAAGATTTTGACATGATTTATAGTCTGTTATCTCTTCAAGGCCATTTTGGAGTTCCTCTGCTAACACCCAGTGATGATAAGTCAATCTAACCCATAACATTACTTCACAGATGAAATCTGTTTGGTGAGTAAAAGCTCCAGTCCATAACCTTTTTAGGTGTTCAAAATGATCCAAAATCATTTTTTGAGCAAGTACGAATCTCTTGAGAGAATAATTCAAAATCACTCACTCATAAAGATAGTCACTTGTCACCACTGACATAACAATGTCAGTAACATAACAATGAAAATACAACCACCATTGGAATTTGGTATTTAGCCGTTTATTGTGAAAATCAGTTGAACTAGCCTTAAACATCTAATGAATGTTGCTGAAAGGCAAACATGCCATCCGTACTGCCACTTTTCATGATGTATAAGGGTTATCGAGCGGTCAAGCTCTGTGGTGAGTGAACATCCACTGCTTCACACTGTGAGATTCTATACCATCAAAGGACTTCAAACAAACTGCTGTCCAAAGCCATATTGCTCTCACACTCACTCTCAGCTGTCTTATCTACCAGGCAACATGTCCCCTTCCCACAGCTGTTATCGTCCGATGGCAAATTGACGCGAAGGAGCACAATGACTGGTGCTCAAAATAAGCCCATTGGAAATTGCTATTAGCGTTTGAGGGCCGGGTACTTTCCAAACAGGCCTGTTTTGCAGTTCTCGCAGTGATGGATGAGTCTTTCACTACAACTTCGGACTTTCTGGTGTTCTCACTGTAAATCATATGATCTTTGAGGTGTTTGGCAAAAGTGCCACAATATAGGTGGTCAAAGTCTTGGGGGTGGCGAAGTTTGTGGTACCGACCAGCTGGAGGTAAATGGGCAGCAGCTGGATAATCTGTACTCTTGTTTTCTTCATGCATTCAGGCGTTGGTTGGCTTTGTGATCAAAAGTCTGTGGCTTGCTCTTAAGAACACCAGTAGATATATTCTGCCTTTGGGAATCCATTCTTATTTTCATAAGTCATTGAGCCTATTCATGAGTGAAAGACATATGACTCATACATTTTATTTATTGACCTTTTCCTTTTATTAAAGAGTACAATAAAGAGCAGACATGAAAGTGGAGAAAATGTTTTTTGATCAAAAATACATTAAGAATATTTGTATTATGTAATAAATACATTAAGAATATTTGTATATAAATGTAATGTATTCCTGTCATGGTAAAACTGAATTTTCAGCAGCTAATACAGCACTCCAGTCTTTAGTGTCATATGATCCTTTGGAAATCATTTTCTTCGTTGGATTTGGTATATATATATACACTAAATACAGTGTTTCATACAACCATCAGTACAGCTACTACTGATATTCTAGGTATAATGATTGTTCATAACTTATTAATCAAAGTAAGAAAGAGTAATGAGGTACTGTAGACTCAGTGGGATTGTATGTGTTTTCCCGCTCTCACATCCTGAATGATTTGCATGCAGCGATGTGATTTGAATGCAAAGGATCCTTGTCTTGAACATACACCATACCTCAAATACATCAGTGTCTTCAACTCTGGATTCAGTGTTAAGTAGCATTAAGGAATCGAGGATCCAGTTTTGCTAGCTGGCTAGAGAGTCTTTTTATCACAGCAGGAGAACAACAGCTGTGTCACTTATTTTATTTTCTTGAGTGGAGAACATTTGCCACGTCACCTCAAGTGTATTAAAGGCTATATGGCCAGAGAAAGATTCATGGTCAGCTGTAAACCATCTTGACTGGCACTGGATTATTGTTGCTGGCTGGCCCCGGAGGAGCTTTGACTCATGACTCAATGAAGATCAATTCCACCGATCCGCTTCATTTGAGACCAAACAATTCTATGACCACTCGGTCTCTTCTGAACAATAGAGCTGTCTCTCATCATGCCATGCAAATTATTTATATTAAACAGCAATATTAAACAAACATTAGTGCGTTTTTGGACAATAGGTAGCTACATCACTGATTCTGTAGATTATTGGAAGCATTATACACTCTAAAAATGCTGGGTTGTTGGATCAAATATGGACAAACCCAAACACTGGGTTAAAAATGTAATCAAAAAATTTAACCCAATGGCTGGGTTTGTCCATATCTGACCCAAAGTTGGGTTAAGACAACCCAGCAATTTTTAGAGTGTAAGGGTCAATAACCCTCCAAAAATTTAAGTGGCAAGTTATATGAAATGGGTCAAATTGTATTTATAATAAATGTTTGCTATCTTCCCCACAACTGATTGTAATGCTATTATTAACATTTTTTTCTCTCTCCAAAAATTCAAGACTACAACTGTGATTTTTTTTTCAATTAAAATCTCAAAATTTCAGCACCAAACCTCTATTCTTTAATTATTATTTTTTAAAATATCTTAATATATCCAGAATAAAATGAGTGTCACATCATTGTTTCCGCTATATAAATAAAAAGCTCAAAAGAAAAGCTCCCATCAAAGGAATGAGACAAATTGGTCAAGGGTTAACAAATCTCTGTGTGAGTATATGTGCGTTTACGAGAGACACTTGAGAACTGGGGAGGGGAGTTTATGAGGATCAACCTAACTGCAACACACCACGGACACACACTGCAGGACCTCTGAGGCCTGCTGC